AATGCGGGCAATATGCAATTTTTTTCTGTTATCACCTCTCAAACAAGGATCTAAAATACACATTAAACCTATTTGAAACTAATTTTACTTATGGATCTTATATACTGAATGATAGGAAAGTAATGAAACTATCTTATGCTATAATTACAAATATGCTGAGCTGCTATGAAACATTATATTACAATAAGCGAAAATTGCCGGAAAATGTGCTTGGGAGGGAAGATGACAGGCTGAATGATTCTACATATGAAAAAACTATCTTAGAATGGTGAGTACTTTTGTTTTGAGATTTTTTGTGCGTATGATGAATATTGTACTGGTGTAAACGCTATCTAAACTGTTATTCTTCTATTTTACAGAGATGAGGACTGAACAAGATGGATATTATACACGCGGATGGAAGACAGAGATTCCCTGAAGAGGGAACAGTAATGCTATTGAAAATATTTGACAAAGAACACAAAGAATGCGAAGAATGACCTTTGAACTTGCGAAAACATGCTAAGATCATTATGAGAACTTGATAAAGAACACAGAAAACATGTGAAAAAGATTGTGAAGAACATGGAGAAATGGGTGAAAAATATAAACTGAACATGCTGCGAACATTTTGCAGAACATGGAGAAACAGGGGAAAAATATGGAATGGACATTTGGGAGGATATTTCAAGATCATACAAAGAGAAAACATAGAAATACAGTAAGATTATTGAAGGTTTGGTTAAGTTGGGGAATGGGCGAGATGAAGTGGAGAGTAGGGGGTCAGATGAGATGAAGAGGGAGTAAGGGAGAGGGAGGGGAAGATAAGGGCGAAAGGGAGTTGGGGGAGGTAAGAGAGAAACGAAGGTAAGGGATGAATGAATCTGGGGAAGGGGGAATGCGCGAGATGAAGGGAGATGGAGAGGAAGATAAGGTCGAGAGGGAGTTCTGAGATGTAAAGGAGGGGGAAGTTGTGGGGTAAGGAAAGCAAGGGAGGGGAAGGGAAGGGGGCGAGATGCAGGGAGTAGGGGTGTGGGGGTTAGGGAGGAAGGGAAGATAAGAGTGTGGGGAGTGGGGCAGATAAGGGAGGGGAAGGTAACGAGCGTCTTACCACTACACCACGGAGACTGGCTGTACAAGAATGTAACAACTCTTGTATATACCAAAAAAAAGTGAAATGACGTGTGATAATTAGCTCATTAGTGATTATTTACATAGCTGAGTAAACAAAGGGTATTGAAGGAGAGGATATGCTTACTTTGAACAGGTGATAGGATGAGCGGGTCTTGATCTGAAATAGTTAAATTTGATGAACTAAAGTGGAGGACGGGAATGGGAGCTCGGTTAATCTCTTGATTTTTTTACAGGGGTCTGAAATGCAGTGGGGGGTTTTAAAATCTCAGGGGATTTACACAGGTAATAATTAACTTACAGGAGCGAACTAAGGCAGGGGGACAAAAGCTATAATTTTGTAATACTATTTTCTTTTGTGACGGGAAAATGAAGGAATGTAGATGTTCGGCAGTCCTCCTAATGGCTGGTGTCAATGCCTATCACATTAAAGAAAAAAAAGATCGACTGCTTGGCTGTTGTCTGTGGTAAAGTAAGGGAATACATGCAAAACACATAGTATGAACAATGAAACTTTAATTAAACTGAAAGCAAATTAAAAACAAAGACAATTCCTTGGCTATGTACAGTGCAAACTAACTAGTCAAAAAATATAACATAAAAATTAAGAACAAGGGTGACGTTACTCTAAACATAAAATAAAGACAAAATGAAATAAGCAGGTGCTCAGAATAAAGCGCTAGCTGAGAAACATCTACCTGATAGACAGAGCGTATATCAGTTAGTTGTTCACAGCTTGAGAGCACAAGATATTCTAACTTCAATGACTGGTTCAAGCCCAGACATCGACTAAGAAGAAGGCGCTGAGGTGCAGGTGTGCAGTCGGCGGGTCACCAATCAGAAGGCTGGGAATGGTAGTTTGCTGGCTGGTAGTTTGCTGTGGTCGGTGACGAGACGGCATGGAGGGAGTGTGGAGTAGGGGGGAGTTTAGGGTACGTTTGCCTCCTGGTCAAAACGTTTTGTGCTACTAATAGACGTATCTTGAAGGTAGCATCTTATTGTTGTATATATATAAGTTACTTTATGTAGGGAAGAGCAGGCTCAATCTCTCTTGAAAGAGATTATCGTCACACTTTATTTACGCAGTTAGAAGTATGTCTGCTTTAAATTTCAGGGAAATTGATCGGGTATTGACAGAGTTGTAACAGGCGGAGGACAAGAGCTAGAGCTTTGTAACTAGATTATAGTATTTTACCATGTCTGAAATACAGTGGTTTTTAAATTTCAGGGAAATTTTTCTGGTATTTATGATGATACTCGAGGGGGGTTAAGGCGGGGGGGTTACAAGAGCTAGTATTAGGAAATTGTTTTGATCATATTTACTATGTATGAAATAGCTAAGTTTTTAATCTCGAGGAAATTGATTAGATACTAAAGAAGATACGAGAGAGAACTAAGGTGGGGACTGGAGCTAGAACTCGGTACAACAATTTTCTTGTCTTCCTATGGCTGAAATATGAATGTTTTAAATTGGGCTATTAGTAGCAAAACTACACTTATAAAGGTGGTCTCTTACACATTTTGGTCTTTAACTGGTCTGTCACATTTTCGGTCATAAAACGGACACTTAAAATATTTCGGTCTTCAACTGGTCTCTGAATAACTTATGTCTTCAACTGGACTCTGAATAATTTCGGTCTTCAACTGTACTCTGTAGAATTTTTGGTCTAAAATGGTCTCTGAAATTATTTTGGTCTTAAATGGACACTAACATATTTTTGGTCTTGTACTGGTCTCAAACGAATTTTGATCTCAAACTGGACTGTCAAATTTTAGTCTTAACTGGACTCAAATGAAAATCGGTCTGATAATGGTCTCTGTCATATTTTGGTCTTAAGCTGGACGCAGTTAAATTTTCGACCTAAACTGGACTCCGAATAGTTTCAGTCTTATAATGGACTCTGTCATATTTTGGTCTTTTACTGGTCTTTAAGCAATTTCGGTTTTAAAATGGTCTCTGATGAAAATTTGGTCTGAAACTGGTCTCTGAATAATTTGGGTCCTTTACTGGTGAAACATTAGTAAATGGATATAAAACTTACTGCTAAGATGTCTATTTTCCCTTAACAAACTTCTATGAACATATACACTTAAAAATGGTCTTGTGAAAAGCTTCTTAGTTAAGACTCATAAACTCTTAAATACACTTCTATGATTATATGAACTCTGAAATATTTCATAAAATTGAACACTGAACATTTTTTAATTTCTCCAAAAACAAACCATTAAGAACGAATGAGTGATATTTGGTCTGAATTTATCCCATAAGAAACCTTTAGGAACGAATGATTGATTTTTGCCTCAAATTTCCCCCATAAAAAACCCTCAACTCCTAATCAGTGATTTTTGGTCTGAATTTTTCCCATAAGAAACCATCAAGAACAAAGCGGGAAACAGGAAATTTTACCTGGAAACCCTGGAGGTTTAGTGGAAATGGCTCCCAAAAATTATATGTCTCTCTGAGCCTCCATCACTAATATTTCCTTATGACGCTCGCGACCTCCCCCTGTGACGCTTCATACCCCTATAGGACGCTCCCAACTTCCCCCTGTGAGCCTTCATACCCCTATAGGACGCTTCCGACCCCCCCCCCAAGATGCTCTCGACACCCATCTGTCACGCTCCCGACTCCCCCCACTCCCCCCAAGATGCTCTCGACACCCATCTGCCCACTCCCCCCAAGATGCTCTCGACACCCCTCTGTCACCTTCCCGACCCTTTTGAGACACTCCTGACCCTCTGTGACGCTCTCGACCCCCTATGTGAAGCTCCCATTCCCCCTGTGACGCTCCCGACCCCCCTTATGACGCTCCCGACCCCCTATGTGAAGCTCCCATTCTCCCTGTGACGCTCCCGACCCCCCTTATGACGCTCCCGACCCCTCTTGTGACGCTGCAGACCTCTCTATGATGCTCCCGACCCCCCTTGTGATGCTGCAGACCTCTCTATGATGCTCCCGACCCCCCTTGTGATGCTGCAGACCTCTCTATGATGCTCCCGACCCCCCTTGTGATGCTGCAGACCTCTCTATGATGCTCCCGACCCCCCTTGTGATGCTGCAGACCTCTCTATGATGCTCCCGACCCCCCTTGTGATGCTGCAGACCTCTCTATGATGCTCCCGACCCCCCTTGTGATGCTGCAGACCTCTCTATGATGCTCCCGACCCCCCTTGTGATGCTGCAGACCTCTCTATGATGCTCCCGACCCCCCCAATAACGCTCCCGAGCCCCCTGTGATGCTTCCGACCCTTTTAATGATCATCCCAACCTTCCCTATGACCCTCCCGCCCCCTACTATGAAGCTCCCGATCCCCTCCTTATGATGCTCCAGATCCTCCTGTGATGCTCACCCCTCTATGATGCTCTCGGCCCACCCTATGACGTTCCCGACCCCCTCTGTGACCCTCCTGATCCTCCCCCAACCCCATGACGTAACTTAACTGAAAAATTTTCTTGAGCAGATTTACCATAAATAATAACATTTCATTACATTTTTAGTACATTACTACTTCTGTGGCCCATATTTATTCTGTAACCATATTTAAGACACACAGAAATGACAATAGCGTGATTTATCAAAATTTGACCATATCGTGGTGCAGTTGACTAAGGCAGCGTCTAGGATCATCCCGGGTGTAACTTTGAGCCTTCATCACGGCTCTTGTGCATTTGTTTATTGAAGACCATTTTGTACACCTCAGTATTTTATTGACATAATTATGTCTTAGTAAGCCTGATATATATTTTCTGAATATTACATTTAAATATCAACTATTACACTATTATAATAAAAATAAATTACACTTTTCTTGGAAGGCTCGAAGAATTAAAAATTGTATGCATTATATATTTATGTATCTAAGATTATCTGCAATTGTTATTGGCTTACCTGGCCGGTAAGAAAGTTAGGCGGATGCTTCTTCAAGAAGGACTTGAGGTCGCCGAGCGGCATGAGCTCCATGACCACATAGACGGGAGTGTAGTCGCCCACCACGCCCAGGAGCCTCACCACGTGGTGACACGAGATGTTCCTGCGGGCAACACAGTAATGTTGCTGAAGCCTTACTCTCCTAGATGACAAGCACTACCACAAACCAAGACGTAGTAGTGGAAGTTATCCCTATGGCCTGCAGCGTTGTCCGCCCCCTCCTCCTTCTTCGCAGGCCATAGGAATAGGGGAGTTTTAATTTTTTCCCCTCGCAGGCCATAGTAGTAAAGGCGTTTTAATTTTTACTTTCTCCCCACAGTCGGTCTTTGCACTAGGGGTGTTTTAATTTTTCTTTCGTATCATTTACCAACTGCTCCCTTCCATCACATATAATTCTCCAAAAAGAGGAATTAAACATCTCCCTTCTGGCCCTTATTTTTTCGCCCAAGGGGATTAAATGGCCGCCTCCAGTCATCCCGAAATGTGCTCACCTCGGGGACTCTGCACAACCAGTCATCCCTGATGGTCAATGACCTCATCAGCCAGCCAGTCTTCATCTTCCCTCAATAAGCTCATTTTCTGAGTAGAGTATTAAGCCCCCTTTTCATATTCACACCCATTTTCAATATTTTAGTCAAGGGAATTAAAGGACTGCATTCTGTCAACCCTAATATGTGATGACGTCATCCTTCATCTTCCCACAATAAGCCCGTTTTCTGTGATAACATATTTAAACACATTTTAATATTTTTGCCCATTTTCAAATATTATTTCTAGTTTAGCCTGCATTTTGAACGTAAGAATGAAATTGCAGAAGGCCTTTGCAGGGAACCTTACAGGATCTCCTATTTACTTTCAGCCCATCTTAAACCACAACATCAACTGCCACTATTAGATAAACTGTTGAAGGCATATGTATGAGAAGCAAGTGAATAAATAACATAATGTTCACACTGGTATTTACCCATTTCTCACCTAATGTCTATTATATTCTCTAATTATTTAATATCCCCTTTTCATTCTCGTTTATCCACTTGCACGCTTCAACATGTCACCTATAAAAATTGCAAAAGATTCATAAGAATAAAGGTAGCTGATTTTCCCCTATTAATAGAGATAAAAGATTCTATCAATACCCTATTAATAGCCAGTTAATACCCATTGTATTCACTAATACACCTCAATCATGTCATCATTATTGTCTGCAGAAGATTCTCCAGCAATACCCTTTTAATTGTCAGTTAATACCCAGTGTATCCACTTAAACACCTCAATTATGACCCCAATTATTCAAACTTCAGAAGATCCTATTAATATCTTGTCTATACCCAGTGTATCCATTTATACCCTTCAATCAAGTCACTCCATCAATATGCAGAAGGCTCTATTATTATTATGGACCCTTATTAAGCCCATTCATCTGCAGGTATGCCATACTCTTCGCCAAACTATTTGCTCAGCTTACCTATCTACACCTGATATTTATAGTGCCCAGCCAAAGATCGTTTATTGAGCATGGGAATGAATGTAACAGCCTACCGCCCATTCCTTCGAAACCAAAGAGACAACACAGAGTATGAACTAACAAGTATGTTCCTCGCATCGGTACTAAATATCAGACTCAAACACAGGAACACTACTCAATCCCCTGTTGAAGTCTTCAACGATATACACATATAATTTTCTGTAACGAGCTATAACATCAATCAGGCGTTTTTCATGATATCTGCTCTGACAGCAGATCCATCCACACCTCATTAATGCTCAAGACATCCACCCTCACCTCAGTGTAACATCAATCCATTTATATTGGATTGATGTTACATAGGCAGGATAGAGGTGACGTGAAGTGAAATACAATGACATACATATGAATGAGATTGGGTGGATATATAAATAGGAGCTGCCAAACCAAGTAGTAGCCCAAACCACATATGGGCCAAACGTGGATATTAATATCATAAGATAGTGGATGCAAGGTATTACTGAGACAAATGTATATTAATGATCCTACTCAAATTGCTCTTTAACTGATCAATCAAAAAATGGATCTATATTATACAAACCACCATTTGAACATGAAATGTCCAAATTCCATAATTTTGTAATCTGTATTAAAGCAGATTCAATTATGTTCTAATTGAAAATGTTTTACAATTCGTTATTGAAGATGTCATCTCCCAATCAATTTGGTAAGAATTTTCTGACAAAAGAACAAACAAAGCATTAGACAATTGGCTGTGTCTTACAGAGTACTTATGTTGCGAAACTCTAAATTTCAAATCTTTAGATGTTTGCACTACATAGAACCTATTACTGTCTTTACAAGGTATTTTGTAAATGACACAATTATCACTACGAGGACTGTTTCTAACTAATAGTTTTCCAACCGTATTTTCGTAATTAAACAATACATGAATATTCAAAATTTTCAAGGCCCTGAATATATTTTCAAACCCTGAAAAATATGGTAAACATAACACATTCTTTGGGCGAATTTTCTCACTGCATATATTATTATAATATGTACGACGTGCTATGCTACGGCAAACTTAAAAAAATTGAGTGGATAACAAAGCTTGATACCAATAGAATCAATATTCTTAAACTCTTCATCTAAGAATTCTGGACTAACAACCCGAAGAGCTCTTAGATACATAGATAAAAAAATTGGTTGTCTCACAGTGTTTCTATGCCCTGTGAAATAATAAATATAAGATAAATTATATGTAGGCTTTCTGTAAACACTAAACTTTAGTGAAAAATCTTTCTTATGAATAAGAATATCTAAGAATGGCAAACATTTATCAATTTCAGTCTCCATAGTAAATTTTATACAGGTGACTTGATCATTAAGTTTAGATACAAATTAGTCTGAATTTACATTTGTAGGCAATTACACAAAATATCATTAACATATCTAAACCACGGAATGATTCCAGAGGTAATTTTTTTAACAAATTTTTGTTCGAAGAATTTAATGTACAAGTTTGAAATCAATGGCAATAAAGGATCTGGATTTGTCAGCCTTTGTTATAAGAATGAAAGGATCGGCTCCTAACTCTTGTAGGCTTCGCCTGAACATTCTTGAGAAATTGCTTGTTTGAGACGTCAACATTGAACCATAAACAATACCTATAACCAGGTTTAAGTTTTGTTGAGAGAGAAAGTTTAGTTTTTCGAGCTGTAACAAAGAACTAGAAATCTTAACTGCAGAGGGTTGATTTGAAATGGCAAATGACATACCATAACGCAAAACAGCAACCACATTTTCACTTATCGATTTAGATGACAAATTCAACACTTTGTTTGGATTAGATTTCTTGGTCCAATCACTGTTTTTTATCAGACATTCTAGCTTGCGTCTTAGAATATTCTGTAACTGATGTATTTTTCTACGTAGGTCACTGTAGATTTCATCCATCAAAGAACTTTTAAAGTCCTAAGGTATGGCGTGATGAAAATTTCTGTTTGCTGTATTAAAGTTTTTGAAAACAAAACGTTCACTTGATTTTGTAACTTCAATGTTTTTTTTCAAAATAGTAGCACAGAAATCACTAAAGGGTTGATCACCTAATTTGATAAGACGGACAGGTAGCAGACTTCGGTAAAACTTTCTCTCTAAGATATTGTTTCAGAAATTTGAGACGGGTGCGAGTGCAGTGTGCTTTCACTAGTTGAGTAGCAAAGATGGTTACGAAGAAAGCAGACTGAGGGAACAGCATTAATAGAGTGCGTGGTTCACATTATATGTGTAAATCACGAAAATTAGCACATGATGAAAAATGTGACAGTGCCAAACCACGACGGAGGGAAGGATTGAAACAGGAATTTCCTTAAGCACTTTCGTATTTAATAATGCATCTTCAGATGGATTTACAAATCAGTAGATTGGTTATATAGGCAGGAGAAGGTGAAGTGAATTGAATCAACCGTTCAGTGATTTCTGTGCCACCATTTTGAAAAAAAACACAATGAAGTTACAAAATTAATTGAACGTTTTGTTTTCAAAATCTTGGAAACAGGAAATTCCTGTTTCAATCCTTCCTTCGTGGTCTGACACTCACATTTTTCATCACGTGACACTTTAGGTTAATAAAGTGATTAACCACTTCAAGACCCCGAACCAACACAGAGACAGTAGCAGCAAGAACATGACCTGCTAATGTTCATGCATGTAATAGCCTATTAATATCTATTCTGTTTCATCCACTTGTTCATCTCTATCACGTTCTCCACCACCTCACCCGAATATAAAAATTCATTATAAGAATACAAGCCTTTGCAAATGCATGGTAAATTTGTCTTTGAAATGTAAGTTGTGCCTTGTGAAACGCATCCCTAGGCGTCAGACCATAAAGTTCATTACCCCCTAAGATATTATATATCCTACCCTACACAACCTTACCTAACATGACCTAGCACATTCGAAGCTAGATTTTATTAAATTTGGATAAATTTATGCTGTCTCACCTAAATTTTAAATAATTTAAGACAATTTTAACTAAATTAACCATATTTAAGAAATTTTTACCAAATTTATCGTATCAAATTCCAACTAAAGTCCCATTCACCCAAGTTTGACCTATACCATCTAAATTTAATATATATTTCCAATATCTAGCATCCATTCATGGCATAACATACCATATTCCTAAGACTACAGCACCCATATCCTCACATATATCCTTATGAAGCCTCTGTCCAGCCATTACAAATGCTAGCTATAACTCGAACCGAAATAGGGTGATTTACTAAATTTTCTGTACAAGCCAGTTCAAGACCCCTAAGATATTATATATCCAACTATACATATCCTTACCTAACCTGACCTAGCACATCCAAAGCTAGATTTGATTAAAGTTGGCAAAATTTAAGATAATCCTCCAAAATTTACCTAATTTAAGACAATTTCCACCAAATTTTCCCAAATCGTTCGTATCATAGCACTGCCAAAACACATTTTACCCACGTTTTCACCTATTCCATCTAAATTGAATATATATTTCCAATATCCAACATTCAGTCTAAGCACAACATACCTCATTCCCAAGACCATTTCACGGAGTTAGTGCTGTGTCTATCTAGCTATTATCAATATCC